GATTCTGCACAGCAAAAGAAGTACCAACAGAATCAACCAACAACCTACAAAATGGGAGAAAATATTTGCAAACTGTGAACCTCACAAAGATCCAATATCCAGAATCTACTAATATCCAGAATCTACAAGGAGCTTAAACAATTTAAGCAAAACCAATCCAATTAAAAAATGTGCAAAGTACACAATCAGACATTTAATCAAAAGATGTACAAGGGACAAAAAAAAATGAGCAAATGTTCAACATCATTAATCATCAGAGAAATGCAAATCAAAGCCACATTGAGAGAGATACTATCTCACAGCAGTCAGAATGGCTATTATCAAAAAGTTAAAACAAAACAAACAAAAAAAAAACATGCTGGTGAAGCTGCAGAGAAAAGCAAATGTTTATATGCTGTTGGTGGCAATGCAAATTACTTTAGCCACTGTGGAAAGTAGTTTAAAGATTTCTCAAAGAAGTTAAAACAGAACTACCATTACACCCAGCAATGCCACTACTGGGTATGTACCCAAAGAAAAATGACTCATTCTATCCAAAGGACACTGACACCCATATGGTTATTGTCACACTGATGACAATAGCAAAGACCTGGTATTAATCTAGGTGCCCATCAATGGTGGGTTGGATAAAGAAAATATTTTATATATACATAAAATATACATAAAAGATTGATAATATTTATGAATATTATAAATACATAAGTACACACACACACATATACCATGGACTATTACACAGCACTAAAAAAGAATGAAAGCATATTCTTTGCAGCAATGTGGGTCCAACTGGAAGCCATTATTCTAAGCAAATTAACACCTGAAAAGACATCCACATACTACATATTCTCACTTATAAATAAAAGCTAAACATTGAATACACATAGACATAAAGATAGAAATAGTAGACAGTGGGAACTGATTGACTAAGGAAAATGTGGGCTGAAAAACTACCTATTGGATACTATGCTCACCACTTGGGAGTGATGGTACCTTCTGTATTTCCAAGCTCAACCTCAACCGCAAGTAATATACCCATGTAACAACCCTGCAAATGTAGCCCCCCGATCTGAATTTTGTTTTGTTTTGTTTTGTTTTTAAAGACAATGTAGTGTCCCAATGCTCTACTTTTTGTTTTTTGTTGTTTTGGGGGTTTTTTTTGCTTATTTTTTTTTTTCAGAAAAATTTCATCAAGGTATTATTTAAAAAAAAAAAAATATAGACCAGGTGTGGTGGTTCATGCCTGTAATTCCAGCACTTAGGAAGGCAGAGACGGAGGATCACTTGAGCCCTAAAATTCAAGACTAGTTTAGATAACAGCAATAATCCCATCTCTACAAAAAGAAAAAATATGTAGTTGTAAATTGTCTCTTACAAATAAAACTCCCAAAATTCAGAAATAATTCAAACAATTTTACTTAAAATTAAGTAAGAGCTATTAATCTGGAGATATAAATACATAAAAGTGATAGTGTTTTTAGAGGCGTTTGAAAAACTATGGCCTTTTATTTAAAGATATTAAATGCTATATTTTGTTGGAGGTATGAGAAAAAATATAATTCCTTTATATGCAAGTAACTTTTTTATTTCTTTCTAAGAAATATGTATCAGCATTAAGCAAAGATTATACTTCATATTACATTTAGTGCATTTTATGTATTGTTATAGTTTCAATGTTCTTATGGTTCTCTTTAGTTTTTAGGAGCTTGAAATGAGAGATTTCTGTTAACCTGGAACACATACTTATTGCATATTATATTTCTTCATAATTACATTAGGTTTTAATTTGGATCATTTTTGTTTTAGACACAGTGAAGATAAACTCGTTTCTGTTTGATTTTTAATCATATTAATTAAAATTGTTTATTAGTTTTATGAGATGACATAGAAACTCCTTTATAATGAGGATTTACTTTAAGAAAATCTTGTGTTATTTTTTAACTTACTTTAAAATGAATTTGGTTTTTAAAAAATCAACTTGGGAACATATTTTAGACAGGTAATCTCAGGGCTTTTACATATGTATTTTTTTTCCAAGAGAAAATTAACATGGATATCCTCAATTTAATATTTTGTGTATATCTATTAAAGAGAACAAAATAAGAAGAATTCCATCTGTCTCTCTGACCTATTGTTTGTGCTGGAGACAGAGTAAATCTTTTCTTTCCAAAGCTTAGATATGATCATATCACTCCCCAACTTTATTTTTTTGTTTTTATTTTTTAATGTATTTTTTATTGTATTTTAGATTCTGGGGTACATGTGCAGATCATGCAGAATTGTTCCATAGGTACATACATGGTAATGTGGTTTAGTGCCTCAATCCCCATGTCACCTATATCTGGCATTTCTCCTCATGTTATCCCTCCCCAACCTCCCTACCCCACACTGTCCCTTCCCTAGTCCCCCCACAACAGACCCCAGTGTGTGATGCTCCCCTCCCTGTGTCCATGTGATCTCATTGTTCAACACCTGCCTATGAGTGAGAACATATAGTGTTTGATTTTCTGTTCTTGTGTCAGTTTGCTGAGAATGATGGCTTCCAGATTCATCCATGTCCCTACAAAAGACATGAACTCGTAGTTTCTTAAGGCTGCATAGTATTCCATGGTGTATATGTGCCACATTTTTCTTGTCCAGTCTCTCATCAATAGGCATTTGGGTTGGTTCCAGGTCTTTGCTATTGTAAACAGTGCCACAATGAACATAAAGTATGCATGTGTATTTATAATAGAATGATTTATAATCCTTTGGGTGTATACCCAGTAATGGGATTGCTGGGTCAAATGTAGTAGTTTCTATTTCTCAGTCTTTGAGGAATCACCACACTGTTTTCCACAATGGTTGAACTAATTTACACTCCCACCAACAGTGTAAAAGTGTTTCTGTTTCTCTGCATCCTTTCTAGCATCTGTTGTCTCCAGATTTTTTAATGATTGCCATTCTAACTGGCGTGAGAAGGTATCTCAATGTGGTTTTGATTTGCATTTCTCTAATGACCAATGATGATGAGCATTTTTTCATATGTTGGCCTCATATATGTCTTCTTTTGAAAAGTGTCTGTTCATGTCTTTCACCTACTTTTGATTGGGTTTTTTTTTTCTTGCAAATCTGTTTTAGTTCTTTGTAGATTTTGGATATTAGCCCTTTGTCAGATGGATAGATGGCAAAAATTTTTTCCCGTTCTGTTGGTTGCCAGTTCACTCTAATGATTGTTTCTTTTGCTGCACAAAAGCTCTGGAGTTTAATTAGACCCCATTTGTCTATTTCAGCTTTTGTTGCCAATGCTTTTGGTGTTTTAGTCATGAAGTCCTTGCCTATGCCTATATCCTGGATGGTTTTCCCTAGGTTTTCTTCTAGGGTTTTTATGGTGTTCAGTCTTATGTTTAAGTCTTTAATCCATCTGTAGCTAATTTTAGTGTAAGGTGTCTGGAAGGGGTCCAGTTTCTGCTTTCTGCACATGGCTAGCCAGTTACCCCAGCACCATTTATGAAACAGGGAATCCTTTCCCTATTGCTTGTTTTTCTCAGTTTGTCAAAGATCAAATGGTTATAAGTGTGTGGTGTTGCCTCTAAGGCCTCTGTTCTGTTCCATTGGTCTGTATCTCACTCCCCCACTTTAAACGTCCCAAGGAAGTTCCATTGTGGTTGGAACTAATCCAAATTCTCTAATGTGACTTGTGAAGAGTAACTTATGAAGTTGCCCTGCTTCTCTCTCCAGTCCTGTCTCCCACCTGCCTCTTCTGGTATCTCACTCCAAAAGAATCACTGTGTGTGTCTGGTTTTACCTCCTCTACTCCAGACTTTTGGTGTTCTCTTAAAGGAACATCTTCCTTTTTTTGACTCTTCCTATAAATTGCTATCACCATCCTGTTAATCTGGTTTGCTTCTACTCATCTTTTTGAAGACTTTCTAATTTGAGGGTGTTTTAAAAATGTAAGCTGGTTAATTTGTAGTTCTTCAGGAAAGGGACAAACTGTTATCATCCTTGGTGTTTAATGTCATGATCAGTCCTAATTGAATCTTTAGATGGTTCTTTACTAAAGTGTATTGTGCAGTCCTGGCTTCTTTGTGATAAGAGGGTGAAAGGAGAAGAAGTCAAGAGAAAAATTAATATTTACCATCCTTAATTTAATATTTTTATAAAGTAACTAATAAATATTGAGTGAATAGGTGAAAAGGTATCATGAGTAAAGTGAAAAGAAGTTATAGCAAAAGTTAAGGATTATTTCATGAAATGAAAATTTCCCATGTAAATGGGAGATTTCTAAAAAAATTGATGAGAGAACATTTTTATTGTTTTCAGTCAATATGGTGCCAGTCTGTAAAAGAATGGAAGGATTTCTTGGCGGTATTAGTCTATTGGTATTAGAATGAGGAGTATATGAAGAATTAAATGGTAGAAAGTTATATCAGTCAAAGAATACTTTTATAGTTTAGCACTAATACAATCTTATTAAAATGAAGGGATTTTTTTTTTAAGTATAAAGAAGTGAAACATTACTCAGCATCTCATCCTCAAGAAATACATGACAAGAACTTGAAAGAACAAAACAGGAAATTCATCTCTCTGGAACTATTTAGGATTGACCTTCAAAAGACAGAAGGATGGACTGAATAAACCAAATGACAACTTAATGTAACCTCAAGGAAAAAGGACCTCTTGTTTTACTGTTGTTGTGGAAGAGTTGCAGAAAGAATTTTTTGTAATAATTAAGATTTCTTGAAATCTAAATCAAGAAATCTAATTTCAGTTTAGAATTGACCTTCATAAAGACAGAAGGATTTCTTGATTTTGTGGTTTCGTGAATAAAACCACAATGAGAAAGTACCCACGAAATTTAACTGGATTCAAATGAAACAATCTCCTGTATTCTCTTTGTAATAGATATTTGATACAATCTATTAAATATTTTTAAGTCATTTAATCTTTGCCTTAGTCTGTGGGTCACTGCCATTAAGTAATCACATATGTGTAACTTCTGTTTTATTTTTATTTTTAAGCTGGATAATGCAGATGAACAAGCAGCCCAGATCCGAAGGGAACTTGATGGCCGGCTGCAATTGGCAGATAAAATGGCAAAGGTAAATTATTTACTTGGACATACTATACCCCATTCCTTTCTTTACCTAGATTTCTGTGAGCTGAAAGAGTGTTTTGTATAGGTTAAAAAAAAAAGAGCCAGCATAATTTAAACATTTTCTTCTCCACACAGAGACCTCTTAATCTTGAATATCTGAATGCATGTTGTCTAAATGGGGCATGTTATTCATTTTACATATTCATTCTTAATATGTGAACTGTTTAATTTTAATGATAACTTTTATAGAATTTTTTAAAGCAATGCCTGAGTTTCTCAAACTGCCATATCTAGAAGAGTTTCAATGTTGTGCTAAGCAAAATACAACCAGGGAGAAAAAACCCCTCCCTGCAAAATCATGTAATATATTCGTAAGTATACAGCATAGTTATTGCCACATAGTGGTTCCAACTAATATTTAATTAAATGACTAAATGCATGAAAAAATGTAATTTGAAGTATCTAGTAGAAAGTCTGGAAGATAAGTATGTTTGACACAAGAAATTCATTATATTGTACTTACTTTATTTGTGTGATCATTATGTATTGTGAATAGAAATAGATTTCAGGCAAAAGCCATGAGTTTTTTCTAGTACTTAAGGTTTTTAGAAAGAATAGAACCTAATTGTCTAAATCATTCTTTAGTGAATTGATTGATTAACTTACTTCAGTGGTATGAAAATTTTCATTTTTTTCAATGGACATGCAATTACAGTGCTGTTGATTGCTCTGAACATAAGATTCTCTCCCCTTCCTTTCTGCTAAGCAAAAACTTCCAATATTTGATGGATAGTCTCTCTTTCTCTCTCATAGCATGTATACAATAAGCTGCACACATCTTCAGTTTACAATTTGATGAATGTTTATGAATACACCCCATGCAGCTACCTCCCAAATCAAGATAGTGAGCTCTTCTAGCATTCAAGAAGTTATATCCCATGCTAATTATAACAATTATTTTTGTGCTTCTGTGAAGTAAATGTGTATTTGTAAATATTAATATATACAGTTTTAAAAATGCCAATAACATTTAAATATTTATTAAAAAGCAGAGGAAACTTTGAGAAATTAGAGATAAACAATGATATAGAAAAAAATTGAGAGAAATTGGGTAACAAGAATGTCAGTAAATTGTAAGATCATGGGGAAGAATCTCTAGATGAGTGAAGACACATTGTGCTATAAATCAGGGGCCAAAGAGTTACAGTCACACAAAGGGCAGTGGCTGAAAGGATACCATGCCTTATTTTTGTCCTCTGGGTTTCTACAAAGGTGCTATTTCATTCTAGAGATTTGAATGTGGACTTCATATAGTAGAAACCAAGCAGCTTGCGGCTGTTGGAACCTTTAGAAAGGAAAATGTTTTAATGCCAAATCCTATCCTGTACTGAGACTGGCTGGAAAAGAAATTGCTTTTCTGAGACCTCAAGCTAACAAAGAACCTGGAGAGTTGTGCCTGACAGCAGCAGGCGGGACAGTGGATCTGTGTTCAGCATTTGAAAATCACCTACTTGTATATAGATTGTACCTGAGGCTGGGTACATTGTCATATCTGATGCTTTAGAATAAAGTTTAAGTGACCTTCTAGAGAGTTATGAGACTGGAAGAAAAGCCTCAGACATGTTCTCAGATTCATGTCTAAGAAGGAGAAGGCATGTTCATAAACTCCTAGGCTGAGTCAGAAGAAAGGTTTAGTTCTCTCCTTGAGAGAACTCTAATAGTTTCATCAGAGATGTTGATAAAGTGGAAAAAGCATGGAGAAAGAAACTGATGGGTTGGGAGGCAAAAATATACCTCTAACAATAGGATACCTTTTGGTGAAAATATTGACACAGCAGATTAAGCAGGTTTAATTGCTTTTTGCTTGAAGGTCACCAAAGTGAAGCCCTCTTATGTTTCTTAAAATGTTTTTTTTTTTTCTTTTTCTTTTCTTTTTTTTTTTTTTTTTTTTTTTTTTTGTGAAGGGTATTTTTATTCTTTTGACACTTGTTGTGAGACGGAGTTTCACTCATGTTACCCAGGCTGGAGTGCAATGGCGCGATCTCGGCTCACCGCAACCTCCACCTCCTGGGTTCAGGCAATTCTCCTGCCTCAGCTTCCTGAGTAGCTGGGATTACAGGCACACACCACCATGCCCAGCTAATTTTTTGTATTTTTAGTAGAGACGGGGTTTCACCATGTTGACCAGGATGGTCTCAATCTCTTGACCTCGTGATCCACCCGCCTCAGCCTCCCAAAGTGCTGGGATTACAGGCTTGAGCCACCACGCCCAGCCTTCTTAAAATGTTTTTAAGGCTAATAACAATTTACTGACCTTGTTGAGTTACATTCCTACAATAATCCTAAAACCTTGTAAGGGCAAATGATATCATGAAGTTAATTTCATGGAAGAGGAAATTGAAGCTTAGACAAGATTATTTATTTCGCCATGATTACATAACAAATAAGTGGCTGAGACAGGCCTCATCTCCAGAGCCTGGGTTTGCTCTCTTGCATCCTGTTGCTTCTGCAATCTGATAATGCCAGAAGTGCGGTTAATAAATAGCTGTTAGTTGGCAATCAGAAACACCCCTTTCCACATTTCACAGAACAATACAATGTAATAACAATAAAACGGCAGGGCAAAAATCTCTGCTTCAAGGGAAATACAGATTTTAGTACTTTAGCCAAGAATAATTAGGAAGTAGTGGACCAAATATGTACAGAAAGACCTGTGACCAAATTTGTGATTGCTATTGTCTAGATATAATAGTAGGCACGTTACTTAACATTTTAGAGCCTTATTTTTTTCTATCAAATTCATTGAGCAAATATTTATTGAACACCAACTATACAGCTGGGTGCTGTCTTAGGTACTTGGGATATATTGAGTTAAAACAAGACAAAAATATTTCTGCCAGGCCCTGGTGGAGCTTACATTTTATTTGGAATAGCCCCACAGTAAGCAGTAATCATGCTATGTAACTAAATTATATATAGTGATTATTGTTACTTAGAAAATAAGTCAGAAAAAATAGGATATGAGTAGTGTAGGAGGGAGGTGGTGGGAGGTTACAGTTTCCAGTCAAGTGGTCAAGGCAGGCCAGTTCTCGATAGTACAATTCTTCAAGATACTCAGACCAAAAAACTTGTAATCATCTTTAATTCCTTTTTCTCATACCTCATGCAAAACTTACCAGGAAATCCTTTTATCTCTACCTTCACAGTATTTCCAGAATGTGATGATGGCTGCCATCCTCCACCTTCCAAAATGTGGTCTAATCATCTTTGTCTGTTGTCTGGATCATTTGTTCTGTCCTTTTAACTAGTCTCCTGGATTCCACTCATCTCCATTAACACAACAGCCAGTGATGTTCTGCACTAAATCTGTGATGATTCCCTGTGTTGCCGAAAGAAAAAGAAAAGTTCCTAAAATGGCCCACAAAGTCCTGTATGATCTGGTCTTTGTTACCCCTCTGACTTTATCCTTCACTAAGCTCATGCCCTTGCTTAATCTACTTTGGCTATGGTGGCCTCATTGGTTTTCCTGCCACAGGGCCTTGGGCCTGCTGTTCACCTGCAGTTATCTTTCATTGACATTTACCTGGCTTTTTCCCTGCTGTAGTCAGGTTCTCTAGAGAAACAGAGCCAATAGATTTATCTATATATTCATATATGTAGACCTATATCTAGATAGATATAATAAATATGTACATAATATTAAAAAGTAGATGTTATACATACATACATGTTATATGTGTATATATATTTATAAAATAACTGCAGAGCATGCATGTGCATACACACACACATGTGGGAGGGCAAGTAGAGAGAGAGAGAGAGATTGATTGAGTTCAAGGAATTGGCTCCCATAACTGTGAGCATTAGCAAGTCCAGAATTCATAGGACGAGTAGGCAGGGTGGAAATTCAGGTGAGAATTGATGTTACAGTCTTAAGTCTGAAATCTGTAGGGTGAACTGGCAGACAAGAAACTCAGGCAGTGTTTCTGTGTTTTAGTCTTGAGGCAAAATTGCTGCTTCGTTAGGAAACCTTTGTCTTTGCTCATAAATCCTTCAACTGAGTGAATGAGACCTACTCCAGATATAGGAGGGTGATCTGATTTACTGAATTTACTGATTGTAAATGTTATTCACATCTAAAGAATATTTTGATAACAACATTTAAATTCATGTTTGGCCTAGCAATTGGACACCATACCCTAGCCAGGTTGACAAACAAAATTAATCATCATACTTCCTCATCCACTTTTATGCTCAAAGGGCATCATCTCCTCATTGAGACCTTCTCCAAACACCTTGTTTAAAGTTACAGCCCTTCTAACCACTCACTGTATGTCCCTTCTAGACTTTTTCTCCATGGTACTTACCACTTTCTACCATAAGAAATTATTTTCTTGTTTATGAAGTCTGTAAAATATAGGTTCCACAGCAGCAGAGGATTTTTGTGCATTATCTTCCTGGTTCTATCCAGGGGCCTGGAGCAGAACACATAGCAGGCACTCAGGGAATGTCTGTCGAATGACTGAGTCTTTATATGCTAGCATATTTGTGAGAAAGCCAGGACTGTGAAGAATTCTTGAATTATTTATAGACTCTCTCCGTTTTCTCCCACTCAAAGGCATATTTGAATTGAAAGGAAGAGAGAGTACCAATATGACAAGAATAACTGAATCTGCTCTAATTTGTAACAACAAAAAAACTAAACACTTCAGCATTTTAGTTAGGATTGGAACCAGCTTCAAAACCAGTAGTTCACTTGATGCCATTATGCTAAGATTAGAACCAAAAATTAATATGGGGGCATGGGAAGCAGCAGAGATCAGCTTAGAGAAACTATCCTGTGATATGAACCCAAGATGTCATCTAGTGGAAGGTTAAGAGCACTTAAGAAAAAGTGATTATATTTGAATAATGAGAAAAAATTTTTAAAGAAGACAACATTTTTTGTGTGTATATACCGTGTGTTAAGACCACTAGTGACCTATGCTGTACAGAGGACCCAATTAGAACACATGACTTATAAGAGCTGACTCATAGTTTGACAACCAAGAAATAATCCTATTTCTGATTCAATTCTAGTTTAAAAGAACACATTTAAAATGTATAATTGTCTGATATACAGTTGGTTTTGTTGTTTGCCAGTGAGGGACAACACAAGCACCTTAAATAGAGGTGTTGAAATATTATCAATAAACCTCAAAGCTTTAAAACAGTATTTGAGCTTTTTCAGGAAAAAAAAATCTGGTATAGTCTATTCCTTGAAAAATTTGAAAATACTGATAAAAGAGTCAATTTTGGTGTTGCCTGCTTTTCTCTTCTTTGACAGATGATAGTTAATGAAGTGCTTATAGTTAAAGCTAAATACAAATAGATTATTTTTTCTCATCCTAATGCTAGATTTTCCATAACATGTTGAAAATTTGAAAGAAAAGCATTGGAACATCAGTACTTTCAGATATATGATATGCTCGTGTTTTGCTTTGTTACACTATAATTTTTTAATGGGAAAAATTATGACTTTCATACAAATATAAAATGGACACACAATAGAGATTTTATGCAATGCATAGTTAATAAGCAAACAAGTTAGATATTAAGACCATGCCAAAGAGCATATGAGAAGCTAGGTGTTTGGGGGCATTACTAAGATAAGATTAATGGATTCAATTAAAAATTGGTTAATTTCTAATACAGATTTAAACTGAAACTTTGACTTATATTATTCACCAGGCATACATTATTTACATCTCTTTCAGATGCAGTTTTACAAAGTAACATGTAACTTTATTGTCTTGAACCTTCAGTCAATAATAAATAATAAGATGAACTAAGAACTTTTCCACAAACAATCATTGGATGGCCTTCACTTCCATGTGAGATTGAAAGGATCTGCCTCCTCATTGTTTCCCTTATTTCTCAGTTTTGGATGCTTTTTCTGACAGCCTTAAAGTTAATCCAAAAACATAACATATGTTTTTTATGGATCATTTTACTTTTTTCCCCCTTTTGCTTGTATTGAAAAATTATTCTAAAAACAATTCCTTTCCTGCCCTGCCCTGTCAAAGGAAACCCAGGTATTCTATAGCTGGGTAGTTACACGTTTTCTTAAGGATACAAATTTGCTATTTTTGAATGTTACGTCAAACTGTAGAGAAATTTTAAAAGGATGCTTAAGAAACTTCTGTGGGAAAGTTAATTTTTAATGTAGATATTTAATCTGTGACATTATGCAGTTTTAATTTTGATTATATGTAAATTAGTTTAAAAAGAAATATGTGAAGGTTATCCTGGGGGAGAAGAAAAACAGGTGGCCTGAGACTCTGGGACTGATCTGTGAAGTGGTGTCAGATGTTCCTTCCCATCCCATGAACGAACTGGTGCAAGAAAGTCAGAGACTAGGTGCAGGTTGACAGGAGCACACTGGACGCTGTCCAGTCGTACTAGAGACGTGTAGATTTCTTAGGTTAGATTTTGAGTGATGTCAAGGGGGGCAACAGTAAAGGCAGTGATTTTCTAGAGCATTCAGCAGTCATTTGAAAGATGGCTGCTTTAGCCTTTCATCCTCCAGCCGGTTCTGAGCAGTGGCAATCATTTCATACTGGGCTTTATGTTGTAAAACTATGTACCCTTTGTCTTTAAGAGAGAAAATCTAAGTGCCAGGTTGGCAAACATTAAATAAAGAGCCAAGAGTGTGAGGGAACAAAGTACTCTCATTTGCTGTTCTGAAGAATATAAATTTGTTATAATATTCTCTAAGAACGATTTGGCACTATCTAAATATCAATATTTGGAATGTCCTTTTAATTGAGCAGAAGAAACAAGTCTGATGGCAGAGTTCAAAGTATTGAATGGTAATGCCGATTTAATTTAGCAAGAAAATAGAATCTTCCAAATTGATATTGTTACTTTTTCCCTTAATCATTTTTAATCATAAATTTTCCTTTTGCTTTACACTTTTCTCTAAGCCTTCAGTGAAAAACTGAATTTATAGCCACAAGAGATCTTGGCACATTCATGTAATGTGAACATTTACTAATTTTAGAAATATGATCATATCACTGTTCAATAATACAAGTTTTTAGGTTTGAATGCCTATTTATGGAAAGCATACTCTCCCAGCAATGCATATCTGTGGTAAAAAATTGAGCTGTTGTTAAAATGTTTGTTTCCTAACTGGCAAAGCAGTTGTGTCCTCAACATTTTCTTACATACCAGTTATCCTAAGCATTGCAAAACTACTAGTGGCTAACTAAGATTCATCTATACACTAAAATATCTTCCTTCCATGCGTGTTTTCAGAGTTCGTTTTTCCTTAAGCAAATCTTATCACAAATAAAGTTAATGTGAAAATATATGTGATTTTTTTCATTTTGCTCTGCAGTGGTCCTCAATAAGATATCTGAAGTACCTTTAGATATAATCATAAATACCAATGCCTGAGGATTTTAAAGCCTAGTGACTCAAGTAGGGTAGATATATTGAGAGTTTTGTAATTTTTAAGACAGTGAAGTATATGCATCATACATTTTTATGATAAAATTGAAATATGACTTATGTAACACTATTATTTTACAAATTATTTTCAAGGAAAGAAAATTCCCCCAATTTATAGCAAAAGATATGGAGAATATGTATATAGAAGAGCTGCGGTCTTCAGTGAATTTGCTAATGGCCAATTTGGAAAGTCTTCCAGTTTCAAAAGGTGGTCCAGAATTTAAATTACAAAAATTAAAACGTTCACAGAATTCTGCATTTTTGGACATAGGGGATGAGAATGAGATTCAGCTGTCAAAGTCTGACGTGGTACTATCATTCACCTTAGAGGTAAGTAGCTTTATCTTATTCTTGCCTCTGACAGCATAAATAAGGCTGCATAATAATTTCTGCTGACCTTTGTGGTAACTGTTAGAATTTAAAACAGTGCAATATATGTTGGAGATGTTAAATTATTCTTCATTTGTTGGATATTCGACCTGTATATGCAAATGAATGCAAATTTTTCTTTGAATATAACAATAGTATTAGGACTAAATAATAAAATAATAAAAGTTTTAAAGCAAGTCTTCTTTATGCCAGTCAGGCTAGTATAAGTTTACTGATACCATAGGATGGGCACGGTGGCTCACACCTGTAATTCCAACACTTTAGGAGGCCAATGCAAGAGGATCACTTGAGCCAAGAAGTTTAAGATCAGCCTGGGCAGCATAACAAGACCCAGTTTCTAAAAAACCAAAAAACAAAAACAAAAGGTATCTCATCATGATGGTGTGTGCCTGTAGTTCCAGCTACTTGGGAGACTAAGATAGAAGGATTGCTTGAGCCCTGGAGGTTGAGGTTACACTGAACAGTGATCATGACCCTGCACTCCAGCCTGGCAGGCAGAGTAAGACCCTGTCTCAAAAACACAAGGATAACAAAAATTCATTGATAAAATAAGCATCAAAACACACTGGGGTAGAAATAGCAATTCAACATATAAGTGAATTCTTTGTAATTTGGGAACTTTTTTCAGGTTTTTGGTTAACCTTTCTTTTTAAACCTACTTTATTTGTGGGATCATTTTTCTAGGATCATATCAAACAAACCAGTTATAATGTACATTATTAGATACCACAGATGATGAGAAACAGATAAGTCTTCTTTTTCAGGACTTCAAGTTTTATTACAGGGACAATACATATTAGAACAGGAACAAATGTCATACATTTAAAATTGTGTTCACCAAAACTTCAGAATTTCATATTTCATGCAAATCACTGGAATCCAAACACTAAGACTCTTTGTACAGCTTCCTGTTGATGCTTTACATAATTCTTCATTGCTGATCTATGCATATGGGCTTATCTAGTTATATGTCTATGAGTTTGTACACCACCACACACAAACACACACCCCTGACAGACACCTTTAGAAGAATTTATGTGAAGCATTAAAATAAAAGATTATAACATAATAATTCGGACTGTCAGGTCGCCATTTGGCTTAAACTGAAGCTCCCCCTCCCCATAATTTTTATTCTATGAGTAAATACTAACAATGTGATACTTTAATTCATAGCTCTCTCAAAAATTACATTGAGGTTTATAGCTCCTTCCTTTTATCCTCTCTGCTGGTTCCCCATGCTGCCATTTTCATTTGCTGATTGACAAAGAAAAGTGAATACAGTCTTACCAAGAACAGTTTTCAATTTCTTTGTTGAAACTTGACTTGCTTAGTTTATGGCAGGAAAAGAAAACTTCTATTTTTATTCTTTTTTTCCCATATATTTAACTCTGAGATAAATTCAAACTTGAGGATGACATCTGCTTCTCACTTTCTTAATTTCATGATTAATGATTTATTTGTAGATTAGTAGATTAAACTTAGTGTCAGATTAGAACTATGAGGCTTTCTTTTGGCTCAAAATTCAATTCTGGGCTTACCTAACAGCTTTGCCAAATGGCTTCACTAATGGCTTTCTTCTCAGACTTTTCAGGCTTCTAACATAAGGATGTCTAATTTGAAACTACATCGCATGTTACCTGTAGCATTTCCTTATCATTCCTGCCTCAGATCTCCTGTTAAGTGAAATATAAACGGTCAATTCTTTTCTATTTTTTAAAACTTTATACAAAACATGATTCATTTAATTATACTATAATTTTTCCAATAAGAGTTTATCTTATGTATTTATTTAGTTAGTTTTGTGGAGACTGAGTCTCTCTGCTCACCGCAACTTCCACCTCCCAGGTTCAAGGGATTCTCCTGTTTCAGCCTCCTGAGTAGCTGGGACTACAGGCATGCAACACCATGTCCAGCTAAATTTTTTTTGTATTTTTAGTAGAGATGGGGTTTCCCTATATTGCCCAGGCTGGTCTTGAACTCCTGAGCTAGGCAGTCCACCCACTTCCACCTCCCAAAATGCCAGGATTACAGGCTTGAGCCACCATGCCCAACCTATCATTTAAATTTATTGATGGAAAAAATAATTTGTAGAGCAAATAACTTTTATGATGTACAAATCTACCATTATCTTTACATGTAAACATTCAGAACTAAAAGCTCAGAACATATTCTCTTTTCTCTATTGTTCAAAAATCTTAAACAATTGTAATAATTAACTTCTTATTAATTATATTTTACCTATTGAAAACAAAATTAGGTATTGAGTCAATGTTTAAGCGAAATGATGAATTGTTATTCTGTGCTTTATTGCCAATATGTTTAGGAGGGCTGTTCAGTTGGCAGTAGATTGTTAGGCAGAGAATATAAGCTAAAACTTTATTTTCCATGGTCTGAGAAGCTTGCATATTTATAAAATTGTTTTGACATCCTCTGTTGCTATGTCTGTCTAAGGCAGATATTTTCCTACCATAGCATAATACAAATCTGTTCTCTGTGTCCACAGTATTTTAAGCAGGAGTTATGTGTCCAGCAACAAAGTAAAATCACGTTAAGTGATGATGATGCAGTGCATGTTTATAGGACACCAGAGAGAACGGATATGCCACTTGTCCCAGGGCCTGTGACATCAGCAAAGCTAAACTGAATAATTATCCCTAGCCCTTTAAGCAAGGCTTGCTCCTCAGACCCCATATTTCAACCTAAGTAAACTCTGAAAGGCAAGCAGTTAATCCAATTTAAAGCTCTCACATTTCATTAGTCAGGCTTAGAAGTGGTCCAGTGGAGGAATCTTTTCTAAGAACTGTACTGAGCCAAAGGAATAAGATGCAGATTTGAAAAACTCTACTTAAATTTCATCTTCTCTTTAAAATTGCTCCCATATCTCACTTCTCTCACTATACCTTATTCCCTTACCAAGTTCAATTTTTGCCATACTATTTACCAACTAACATATAGTTCAGTTATTTATTATGTTTATTGTTAATTATCTTGCTTTCTCTACTAGAATGTAAGCTGCAGGAAGGTAATATTTCTTTCTCCTTTTTGTTTACCGACGTATTGAAAGTAACTAAACAGTGCGTAGCACACACTTGACTCAATAAATACGTATTGAATTAAAGGATTTTTATGGTATCAAAAAAGCAGTTAGCCATACAGGATTACTTTTAGGTCTCTCTGTTTATTAACAGAGAAATATTAAAGCAACAAATGAGCTAACCCACAAAATGGTAAGCAATTAAATAATGTTAAATGCAAGCAAAACTAGAAAAACAAATGTTCACCTAAGAAATGGAAAGTGGGGAATGATCTCAATGGCATGAATATAGTTGATTTTTTTTTTTTTTTTTTTTTTTTGGGAGACTGAATTTCGCTCTGTTGCCCAGGCTGGAGTGCAGTGGCATGATCTCGCCTCACTGAAACCGCTGCCTCCCAGGTTCAAGCAATTCTCCTACGTGAGCCTCCTTAGTAGCTTGAATTACAGGCACATGCCACCACGCCTGGCTAGCTTTTGTATTTTTAGTAGAGATGGGATTTCACCATGTTAGCCAGGCTGCTCTCGATCTCCTGACCTCATGATCTACCCACATGATCTACCCACCTCGGCCTCCCAAAGTGCTGGGATTACAGGCATGAGCCCCCATACCCAGCATGCAGTTGATTTTTTACAATGAATTCTGTTATCGATTTCAGGTTAGCATCCCATGACTTCCTCTGTGTTTGGTGCCTTATGGTTCCCAGTTTCACCATACTGCCCAGCGTCATTTTCTAATAAACTACGCATGCTTAAGTGTCTCCTAACTCTGTGGTCAGTGTTTTCCTGGAAGAGTGTTACCTAGTTTCACATTTTATACTTATCTCTCTTACTTTTGCTTCTAGGACAACTTTATTTTATCCCTATGACATCAGCTACAGAGAGACTGGGGAAGAGAAGATTAAAAATAGGTCAATTTAGTTTCTGTAGGTCCATTAGCAAGTTTTGCTGGGAATTTAAATACTTTTTAAAATTAGATAAGCTGATGGTCCATGGAGTTCTTGGCTGTCTTTATCACTAGTTATTAAGGCCACCTATTTTTTATTTTTCTTTTGGATATCAGATCTGTAGAATATGTTGTTTTATTTATACATATAGATTCATCACAGAATATCTTTTGAAAATGACAATTCTGCAGGTTAAAACATTCCCAGCACAGTTGGAAGTATTGTTTTGAAAAGCAGAGTGCCGTTTCACAAGTTGTATGTTTTAGGAGGTCATGTTTATAGTAGCTTGTAGTGGAGGTGACAGAAATAATGTCAAGCAGATGCTTCTTTTCTTCTCTCTTGCACTTTGGTTATTTAAATACACTGCAGAAGAGATGCAGTGTAAACAATAATATTCTGAAATATGAAGCAATGCTCTTAGAATTTCTAGGCTTGTGGTACACAATTCTATTGTTTTGTACATTTTAAATGACGATCACACATTTTTATTATTAAGAAATGGCCGGGCGTGGTGGCTTATGTCTGTAATCCCAGCACATTGGGAGGCCAAGGCGGGCGGATCATGAGGTCAAGAGATCGAGACCATCCTGGCCAACATGGTGAAACCCCATCTCTACTAAAAAAAAAATACAAAAATTAGCTGGGCATGGTGGCGTGCACCTGTAGTCCCAGCTACTCTGGAGGCTGAGGTGGGAGAATTGCTTGAACCTGGGAGGCAGAGATTGCATTGAGCCGAGATCATGCCACTGCACTCCAGCCTGGTGCCTGGCAACAGAGAGAG